AGATGCAGGTTTCCTGGGGGCTCGCTTTGGGGGAAGTGTTGCAGGTGCCACCACTCCGGGGGCAGGGAGTGGTGTGGGGGGTGGGCTGTGTGTGAGGCGCTTCTGGGGATGAGCTCAGCTGTTGTTTGGAGCATCCTTGTCCGCAGGACTGCCCCTGGAGTGATGAAAGAGGGCCAGCCGGCCAAATTCTAGCAGAGGCAGAGATAAGCGCCCTCACTGGATAGAGGGGCAGCGGCCATGGCTACCTGCCAGCTGAACCAGAGGAAGGGAGACTCCGTGAGGGGTGCAGCCTGGTAGGCCTCTGTCCCCCAGTTCCTTTCACCTGCTCATGTTACTTGAGCTCTGGCATTCAGAGAAGGGCTTGCCATGCCTTCTTCATCCTCCCATCCTCGCCACAGCACAATACAGGGAGACTGCGAACCCACTTAACGGGAAAAGAAACTGAGGGAGACAGTGTGGCTCAGGAGCTTGCTCTGGCTTCCACGGCCTGACTGCCTTTCTTTCCTGACCATTCCTGCCATTGCAGTTAGATTCCCAGTCCTCAAGGTCTGGCCTTCCTTGTCCTCTCCAGCCTCTTTCCGACTGTGTCCCCACGCCCACCCCTCCCTGATCTCACGTCGTCCTGCACCTCCCGAATCTGGATCAGAGGCTCCAGCACCCTGCAGATGTGCACCCACACTCCTTTCCCCACCTGCTGGGCATCTCCATCTGGGCATCCTGCCAGAGCTCAGCCCACTGTGCCCAAGCCCACCAGCTCTCCAGACTTCTCTCTGTTGATAGCACCCCTGTTCGTGGCCACCCACGTCCCGAGGCCTCTCTCTTTTGCCTCCATCCAGAACACACAGGGCTTTGTGGCACGACAGACACAGATAGGGCAGTGACATCCCACTTAAAACTCTAATGGTTGGGGATCCCTGGGTGGCTCAGCGGTTGAGCGCCTGCCTTCGGCCCAGGGTGTGATCCTGGAGACCCGGGATCGAGTCCAGCATCGGGCTCCCTGCATGGAGCCTGCTTCTCCCTCTGCCTGTGTCTCTGCCCCTCTCTCTCTCTCTCTCTCTCTCTCTCTGTCTCTCATGAATAAATAAATAAAACCTTTAAAAAAAAAAAAAACAAAACTCTTCTGGTTGCGAGCCACAGAAAATTCCTACTGGAACTGCTGTGATTGATAACAGACCAAACTGAGCCAGTGCCTGACACAGCTGAACCCAACCATTCAAATGCTAGCTTCATGGGACATCTGGGTGGCTCAGCGGTTGAGCGTCTGCCTTTGGCTCAGGGCCTGATCCTGGATTCCCGGGATCGAGTCCTGCATCGGGCTCCTTGCTTGGAGCCTGCTTCTCCTCCCTCTGCCTCTCTTTCTATGTCTCTCATGAATAAATAAGTAAAGCCTTTAAAAACAAACAACAACAATGAAATGAATGGCAGCATCAGGTCTTTCAGCTCAGCACACACCCCGTACTGGCTCTGCCCTTAGTCCCACGGGGGGGGGGGGGGGCAAAATGGCCATCACCTGCCGTCTACACCCTCTAGGACAGGAAGGAGGAGGCCAGGGTGTCTTTGTGAGAGGGGCAGCAGGGAGATCACAAAGTGTAAGAGGCAGACAGGCGCCAGTCCTTAGGGCCCTTCCTTCTCCCCTTGCAGGGTCCCAGGAGTCTGTGCATGTCCACCTCCTCCAGGAAGCCCAAAAGCCCTCCCTGCCCCACTGGTCCAGTCTCACCAGTTTTCCCAGCTCTCTGTGGCAATGAGCTAGAATGAGAGATATGTGAGCATTGCAACATCCTCTCTCTTTGCCCTCGAGGAACTGGGAAGATAGCATCTATATGGACTCCACAAGAGGGTTAGCAATCCAGATGGTGGGCAAGAGTACCAGGTGAGGACTGAGGGGAGGTGATGGGAGGTGTGGATGGCCGAGGCTAGAGGGTGGGGCATCAGGGAACTGTGCACATCCTTGGTGCAGTATATTGAAATGACAATCGAGACAAGAAGACCTTGCCTGTGCCCACCAGTCCCAGACCCTGGATGGTGGTGGGGGTTACCCAGGCCCTTTGTGGGGGAAGGAAGCTTAGTCTCACAATGCAGCCCAATGCTGACCACTCATCCCCTGCCCCCACCTGGATTGGGGTTGGAGCTGGGGTCTAGGGATAGTGGTTGGGATCAACAGTATTCTATTACTGGTTTCCATGAACAAATATTGACTGGGTACCTGCTTCGGGACCCAGTGAACACAACAGGCAAATTATTCATTTACCAATGGATTTTTTGAGCATCTGTTACTGGGTTCAAGGCTCCATAGAAGGGAAGGAGCTCAAAGTAAAATGAAATGCTTGGTTCCAGAAACCACATTAGCCTAGGTTTTTGTTTTTCCACTTTTAATTATTGATGACAGCAGCTTCAGTACAGATATCAGAGAGCTGCTTCCTGCTCTCAGTCATGAAAATTTTGGTTTGGCCTGGCTTTTAACTAGAATTATTCCCTCTGATTTTCCCTACAAAGAGTTTTGTGTTTTTTGTTTTGTTTTGTGTTTAAGATTTTATTTTATTTTATTTTAGGATTTTATTCTTAAGTAATCTCTACACTCAGTGTGGGGCTTGAACTCATCACCCCGAGATCAATAGTCGGGTGCTCCACGGGCTTAGCCAGCCAGGTGCCCCTAAAGAGTTCTGAATTATATGAATAAATGTGCTTGTAAAATTTGGAGGGCAGATACAGTCAGCTTTCATCAGCTTCTCTCTTTCTCTTTTTAAGTAACATATTTCTTTCTCTTTTATTTCAGAATAGAATCAACAAGAAAGTTTAAAAATGATCCAGATAACCCCTGGTTCTTGCTTCTTTTAAATGCATATGGAGAAGAGTTGAAATGCTATAGAAAAACAAGGATGTGAAGTAAAACTCTCTTTGCTTCCCTCCCCCGTTCCACTTCCTCTTCCTAAAGCCTTGTGCCATTCACGGTTTCTTACATATCTCTCCGGAAAAGGTTTAACGCATTTGTCAGCATCATAAATGCATTATGTATATCCTATTCTTAGAAGAAGTTTCTCCCAGAAGTTAGGAGAGGTTGCTCTCTCTGCCCGATGGTAGTTCATTTTTATGGGGTTTTCTCCTGTCCTGTCCTAACTGCATTTAAGAACCAGTCCAAGGAACCAGGTGTCCTGTGTAGCCCAGCCTTGGGCTAACTGGGTGACATCAGCAAGTCACTTCACCTCACTGAGGCTCAGTTTTCTCATGGTGAAAATGGGGATTCTGGTGGGGGTGCCTTGGTAGTGTGCCTGCAGCAAGGCCTCGTTAGCTGGGAGGCGTGCCATGCATGTCAGAGCATTCTCTTAGCCCCTTTTGTAAGGAGGCAGGGCTGCCAGTTCTAAATAAATGTTACAGAAGGGCCTGTCAGCAGTTGCCCCTCAGAATGACCTGTCACTTCATTTCCCGGCTGCAGGAAGAAGAGCGTGGGAGTCTCCTGACAGGAGATGACGGGGTCACACGAATTCCTCACCCTCAGTGTTGGCTCCCACCCCAGGTGCTCAATTGATCCGACTCTGGAAGGCTGGACCCATCTGTCCTTGGCTGGGAAGGAATCCCTGCTAACAGCTGGCCAGGCCCCTGATATATGGCCCCTGTCACCCTCCCCCTCTGCTTGCTCTGATCTCAGGTTTTAAGATCTCTGTGACCCCTGCTTCAGGGGGCAAACGGCTCACAGGAAAGGTCTCTAACATCCTCTGGGGGCCAGAAGGTGACTTGGCTGTTGTCAGCAAAACTGCGTGCAGGCCCAGGAAGGCAGAAGGAAGGGTGACATTTCAGCCTGTGATGGGGGACTGTGATGATGGCAGAGGGGGACGGAGGCCCTTTGTGGTGTGCTACGAAGCATCTGCCACAGCACTGCTCCTTTGCAGGTGTGGCATCCTTGGCCCTCCCAAATGCACTCCCACTTTGCAGATGAGGACCCTGAGGCTCAGGGAGCTGAGCCAAGTTGCTATTCAGTGAGTGAGAGAGAGGCAGAGCCAGGACGGAGTCTGACCACGGACTTCAGAGCTTGTGCTCTGCCTCTGTGCCAGGCCCGGGTGGGGACCAAACTGGGCCCCCAGAACTCAAGGCCACAAAGGGGCTGCCCACTCACAGGCACCCTTCTCTCGGGGTCCGCTTTTATTAGGCCTGCTCTCTCAGTATCCTCAGTGTCTAGAACAGTGCCTGGCACTCAGTATGTGCTCAGGCAATCGCTGTGGAATAAAGAAGAGAATGGATAACAAAAGTGGCTGATTAGCGAAATAGATGACCCCCCCCCATACTCCAAGGCTGATGCTCCCTAAACTTGTCTCAGAGTCCTGTGACAGATGGTGTGAGCCTAACGCCAAGCCACCAGCTGCAGTTTGGAAGGGCCATGATCCCCACTTTCTACCTCTCTTTAGCAGCCTCTTTGCCTTCAGAGTCACACCCTTCCTGCTCTGCAGCACACGGCGAGGCCTGTGGGGTCCCCAAGCCAAGGCTGCCTCTGACCAGAGGGGTGAAGACAGGGTGCCCAGCAACACAGCACTTGTGTCAGGTCACACAGTGGCCCCTGCTGGCCTCCCAGGGCTGGGGGAGGAGCTGAGGGCACAGTGGGGTCAGCCCTGGTTCTGTCCTGCTGAGGCCCCGGTCCAGCTCACGGGGGAGTCAGATGCCTGCAACCCGGCCTATGAGGAGCAGATATTAACAGTAAGGGCAGGAATTAAGGAGCATTTGCCACACATTGGGCACAGGTGCCTTCCGTGAAGTTTTCTCATTTAACTCTTCCAAAACCTTAGGGGCTCAGTACACTTATCTTCATTGTGCAGATGAGAAAACAGAGGTACCTAAAAGTTACAACCTAAACAGTTGTAAGTGGTATTTGAATCATGATGGTTCTTTTCTTTCTTTTCTTTTTTTAAGATTTTATTTATTTATTCATGAGAGACACACAGGGAGAAGCAGACACAGGTAGAGGGAGAAGCAGGCTTCCTGCAGGGAGCCTGATGCAGGACTCGATCCCAGGACCTCAGGATCACACCCTGAGTCAAAGGCAGGCGTTCAGCCACTGAGCCACCCAAGTGTCCCTATAAGTGGGTTTTGAACCTCAGAGCCCAGCTTCAGAGTTGTGTTTGCCTTCCCCCTGTTTGACTGCCAGTCACTACCGTCACTGTCAGGGCCAGGCCTCTGAGCAGCCTTCCTCCAGGGCTGCTTTCTCGGGCTCCTAAGAAGTGCTCTACAACCGCTGGGCCCTGCCTGTGTACCATCCAGATGAGCCACTGTCACCTCTGAGCAACTGGGAGAAGAAACAGAAAGCCAGCTCTGGGGATGAGGATAGGGATGGTCAGGAAAGGCCCAGGGGAGGAGGAGAGCTGGTGGAGAATTGGCCACCCACCCAGATGACTGGAGGCAGGGTACTCTGGGCAGAGAGCAGAGTGTGCAGAGGCATGGGCACACAGGGTGTTCGGTGGAATGGGGTTCAGTTAGGGAGAGAGTGGGGCGTAAAAGGGGAGAGCTTTGGGAGATAAAACTGGAAGGCTTACACGCAGAGCGTTAGGTCTGCATCCCGTCTCTAGGTGTGCAGGCTGAGACCAGTATTTCAGGCACCACGGCACCAGAGCTAGCCGATGGTAGTAGTGGGGGCCAGACCCTGGGGGACATGCTGCACATGCACTCTGCCCCCCAGAAAATCCTGTGAGACATGGCCTCACCTTTAAGGCCTGGGAGCTTCCTACAAAGTCCTGAGCTTCCAGGTAAGAAGTCCAGCTCCTCTGCTGGAGAGAGGTGACCCTGATGGTGAGGGAGAGAAGCCCAGTCATCCCAGTGTCCGTCCCGGGTCTCATCTGTTCCCCATCTCCCTCCCACCAGCTGGATGACCCCTGGCAAGAAGAATAGAAGTGTTGGCCCAGTTGATGGTGCCCAGCAGAGTGGAGATGAGGTATCTCTATCACACCCTGCTCATGCTGCAGCATCATGAACAAGTAAATGACTTGTCACGCACCACTATGTTTTGGGGTGCTTTGTCACTTAACAATAGATATTTGGAACAGAAATTGGTCAGGAAGCTATCCTTGGAAGTGCTGAATGAAAGCATCCAATGCCAGGTGAATCACTAAGATGCTTTTCTCTTTGTCAGAGAAGGCTTTCCAGGTGGACCAGAGTGGTTCACCCAGGCCACTCCAGGCACTCTTCTTTCTGACTCACCTGTGACTGTTTCCCAAGCCCTGGCAGCAGCAGCTTTCTGGGGCCAGGGCCAAGGGATCCCATGTTGTTCCCCACCCCTCCGGGAGCCTTGGCTAGAGCTCCACACACCGCGGGGCCCAGAGTGCTGCCTGACTCCCACCACTGGGCTTCTTCATCAGGCCTTCATCCCAAGCCACGTGCTAGCAGAAGAGAAACCTTCAGAGCCAAAGTGCCTGGTTCAAAGCCTAGCTCTGCCACTTGTTCCCTATATGACCTTGAACAAATCCAGCCACCTCTCTGAGCCTCCATCTCCTTATCTGTAAAATGGGGAGAATACTACTTGACCTTGTGAAGGTAAATGAGATAACATTTCTCAAGAGCCTTACGCGGTGCCTGGCATAGAAGTGCCCCTCCCCATCTATATTCTTCTCTCCTTATTTGTAAATGAAGGGAAAAATTTTAGGTTCCAGTGACCCTTCCATATGTCATATACCTAAATCCTCTTCTCCACAGGTCAAGCCTGGAGTTTGAGTATAAATCATTGTGTTGTCTGTGGCTGAACTGCCAAGGCCCCATTGCAGGTCTACTGGATTGAGGCTAGTGAGGGAGCAAGCCCCGCTTTCAGATTTGGAGACCTGGGCTCCAGCCTGCCCCCTGCCTTCCAGCCCAACGGCTTTGGCATGTCCTTGACCCTTTGTGCAGCGGGGGTTAGTAGTTCCTGCCCTATCCTGGCAGAGTTGCTGGGAGGTTCATGGGCACCAATGGACCCGGAAGCACTTTACCATTAGCATGGTGTCAAGCATGTACCTGGATGATGCCATTTTTAATCCTTTTGGTAGGACTTGGTTCCCTAGAGCTATGTTGTCCCAAATTAAATAAAATTAAAAATCCAGTTCCTTAATCCCACTAGCCCCATTTCAAATACTCAGTAGCAATGTGCGGCTGGTGGCTACCATATTGGATAGCACAGATAGAGAATATTTACGTCATTACGGGAAGCTCCATTGGATTGCACTGCACTAGAGTATCCCCCAAAGGGACAGACAACCAGTAGGAATGAAAGACAGTGATGAAGAACAAGGAAGTTTGAGCAGAAATAGGGGGGTGGCATGGATTCTTTGGATTGTTTTGCAGACCAGACCAAGGATGGTCATCATGTTCGACTACTTACCTGCTAATAGCCACGCTGGACAGCTTCTCTGGAAACAAAGTTTTCTCACCATGAGATTAGGGAGCACAAGGGCTGACTCCAACAGGAAGTAGCCAGAGGAGGCCAAGACCACAGGGCCACGCTAAGCACTGAATACTGATTTATCCTCTGGCATGGCTGGTGGTTGGGTGGGTCCACATGCTGACAGAGCTTCTCTTTCTGTCCCCAGTGCGCCTGGTGGAGAGGGTGTGCCAGGCAGCAGGGCAGCAGTGCCAGGACGATGATGTCTGAGTCTGGTGCTAAGGGACCAATTAGCCAGTCATGGGGTGCATCCCATGACTCTGCTGCCAAACCACGGAGGCTCTCTGAGCCCCGGATCCTCTCCCAGTGAAGGCCACGGCACCGGGAACGCAGCACATGCAGGATCACCAGCACCGGCCAGTGTAGTTTGACCAACAGGCCATGGCAGGAGAGGCCTGGAGAGCAGAAGGGAGAGACTCAAGAACCCACTCCGTGAGGGGCCCAGTGGGGAGAAGATGCCAGGGAATATACATTTTCTGCCTTGCCAGGTAGGGTTCCTTCCTGCCCTCCCAACTCGACACACGAGCCATATCCGTGTAGGGACACAGACTTACGTGCAGCAGGCACCCAGACACGCACACACAGATCCACCCAGAGATGGACACAGACACAGACACCCAGACATGGAAGGCGATGTGGCCTCCTAGGTGCAGGTACATGTGCACAGGCACCAGCTACCAGCGGCCAGAATGCCCCCTTTTCCTCCTACACAAGAAGCCTTCCACTAGCCAAAATGCCAACTGTGTGTCTCGAAACAAAAACAATCCCAGGGGCCTCCCTGACCCTCACTGACTACAAATTAATCCCCTTCCCCCTACCCCCCGAAGTGCCACAAGCCCCCGCACCCCGCACACGGGCTGGGGGAGAGGGTCACCTAGCTGGACACGAGGCATCTCTGCTCTCAGCCAGAAGCTCCTTCTCTTCGGACAGTGAGAACGTGAGAACACAGCATCTGTTCTTGGGGCTCCCCCGGGCACACCTGCCTCTCCCCCTCTGTCCCCTTGTAATCTTCACAGCAGCTTTAGTTTTCCCACGGGGCTTCTGGAGCAGGCAGGCGGCATGACAGGTGACAAATCAAAAGTCATTGTCTCCTGAACAGGTGTGTGCCAGGGCTGGGGGGCAGGGCAGGAAGCCAAGCTTGGGGTAGGAGTTCCTAGAAGTCTGTGGAGCCCTGGAGTGTCATGGGTCTGGTCTGGAACCCTGTTTTTAGCAGTTGGTCAGTCACAGCTGCCAGAAGCTAGGGCTGATTTCCTCCCCTGCCCCAGTGTAGGGCTCACTCACCGCATAGGCTGTCATGGACTTGAGCTACCCGCTTAGGGCCAGGCTTTCCTCCCAGGCCAGAGCTGTACAAGGAGTTCTCAGAAGAAGCCCAGTTCCCATCCGCTCAGCCCCATGTTTTGCTGCCCACCCAGGAGCTGCCGGCAGACGTAGGTGCTGGCAGGCCCAGGTGATCTGCAGCTTTCAAGCCGTCGGCCTCGAGGCTGGCAGGTTATCAAGAGCCTCAGCCACAGACCCAGTGAAGGTTTAAAATAAAGTCACCCACCCGTCTCTGAAACCACAGGAAAAAATCTGTGCCAACTCAGGGGATTACATACTGCCCTGCTTCATGCCCTTTCACAATCAACAGAGCAAGATTTTTTAAATGATAACAGATCACTTTATTTTTATTATATTTTTGAGAGGAAAAGGTGGGGAGGGACAGAGAGAGACTCTGAAGCAGGCTCCTCGCACAGCACAGAGCCTGACATGGGGCTTCATCTCATAACCCCAAGATCATGACCTGAGCCGAAATCAAGAGTCAGATGTTCAAGGGACTGAGCCACCCAGGTGCCCCAGTAACTGATCACTTAAAAATAACAATTTAAAAATGCTAACAGTTAATATTATTTACACAATAATAGTTCATTAAAAAATTATAATGACTCTTTAGAATGTAAGCAACAATATAAACCACAAAGGCAGGTACCTTTGTCTATTTTGCTCACCAATGCGTCCCAATAACCGAGGCCAGTGTTTGGCACATTGCAGGCACTCAGCAGGTATTGCTGAATAAAGTGCTTGCTATGTGCTGAGCACTATTTAAGGGCTTTTCAAATATTAATTCATCTGATCTTAACATTGTGAGATGGATGATATTATTCCCATTTGTAGACAGGGAAACTGAGACACAGAGAAACTTAGTAACCTACCCAAAGACACACATCCAGGAAAGGGAGATTTCATGCTCAAGCAGCCTGGCTCTGGGGTCTGGGTTTCTGACCACCATCCTCTCACTGCCTTGCTTTTTTTCTTTTTTTTTTTTAAAAAGATTTTATTTATTTATTCATGAGAGGCACAGAATGAGAGGCAAAGACATAGGCAGAGGGAGAAGCAGTCTCCTTGCCAGGAGCCTGATGTGGGACTCGATCCCAGAAAACCAGGATCACTACCTGAGCCTAGGCAGGTTCTCAACCACTGAGCCCCCCAGAGCCTCTCACTGCTTTTCTTGATGGCAACATCATGTTAAAACTCTTCTGCTATTTCATTGACCATAGTATTGTTTCATTTCTTTAACAATGATGTGTTGACATTTATTTCTCCCACCAGACTACCATTTCCCTGAGGCCAGTGGAGGCAGGTGTGTCTCAAACACAGAAAATGATTCCTAGTCGTAGAACGAATGAGTGGATTTCCTTCCATCTCACAGTATTTACGTGTCATTCACCAAATGGCTTAGGAATTCCTAGGGGTCAGGAAGGAACCAAGGTATCAGTGGCTAAAAGCACAGGCTCCAGAGTCCTAATGGCTGGATCTGGATCTTCTCCTCTCCCCCTTAGTAGCTATGTGAACTTGGGCAGATTACTCAACCTCTCAGGGCCTCAGTTTGGTCCTGTTTTTGCCTGTCAAATGGAGATAATAATGGTTTTTGCCTTCTAGGGTTGATGTGAGAATTAAATGAGATAATGCTTGCTCAGAGCTTGGCACATGGTAAGGGCTCCATAAATGGCACTTATTGTCACTGTTAATAGGGTGGTGGTGTCACTTCTGCTCACCCTGTATCTGATGTGAAGTCAAGGCCGCCTATTAGCCCTTCCGCAGGCCACAGCCAGCAGCTCGTTGGCAGGCGCCTGCAGCAGGCATGACCCACTCCTCCCCATCTGTCAGGGTGAGTCCTTCGCTGGTTCCGGTCAAAGCCTACAACCTACTTATTAGGTTAATTAGACGCGACACCTTTCTAAAGATACCCTGGCTCCAAAGCCAGCCCTAACATCTGAGCCGAGGACCCGAGGATGTGGCAAATGACAAGTTCTCACGGGACCTCCTGTTGGGGTGGAGGGGGAAGGAGGAGTCACCCCATCCCTCTCTCGGGATTATTGGCCGGCTCCTGGAGTCTTCTTTGGGTAGGGTGGCCCAGTTAAATTTGAATTTTACATAAATGCCAAATTTGTATCTTAATAAAGTAAGTCCCCAATATTACCCAGGCATGCTTATATTTAAAAAGTATTTGGTATTTGCCTGAAACTCAAATTTCTATGGGCATCTCCTTTTTGTGCCCCCTGAAGCCGGCTCCAAGCTGTAGGGCAGGCAGGAGCATGAGGTGAGGGTGCGGGAGGGCACCCCACCCAGCTAATTGAAGGAGCAGGAGTAGGAGCAGGAGCAAGATGTGGTCGGGCCCTGCTCCCCACAGCCCTGGCACCCGGGCCCCACTCTGGGTCTGAGGTGAGGTTGCCTGGGGACCAAGTGGAGCCTCCCTCCCTTAGGGAGGCTCTGCTGAAGAACAGGGCGCTGTTGCCAACTCGGAGTTGTTTGCACTTGAGCAGCTCCCTCGGGCACAGGCCCCCTTCCTGGTTAACATCCTGGATGGGAGGACCAAGAACAACAGCCTTTTTCCCCAGAGAGGTGTTGACATGCAATCCCAGGAGCACAGCAGGTGAGGAAGGGCTCTGAGGCCCACGCGGTACAGGACACAGAAGACCCTTCCCTCCTATTACCTGAGGGCCCCCGAGAAGATGAGGGGTTTGTCCAATGTCGCAAGGGGAGTCGTACTGGAGGTAACCTAGACCACGGTCTCTGGACAGCCCATTCCCATCCCTTCTTGCCCACCTGATTATCTTTCTGTGCCTGTTGAGAGCAGTTGTTGCCAGAACAATTTTGATCCTCAAACTCAACAATTGAACTAGACCCATCATCTTCCTCCTCCCACCTGTGATTCTACTTGTTTCTACAGCTCAAGACACGGTAGCCCATCCACCCAGCTGTGCAAACTAGAAACTCAAGCATCATCCTGGGTGCCCCTCCTTCCCCTTGTCCTATCAATCACTAAGCCCTGTTCATGCCATCTCCTTGGCAGCCCTTGAATTTGCCCACCTCCTTCCATGGCTTCCACCACCTGCATGCACATAGCCATCATCCCGTGCCCAGCTCCCGAGTCAGCTGCAGATTGGCCCCATCGCCAGGCCACTCTGCCCCAGAAGCAAACAAAACATCAATCTGCACATGCCCACCTCCACCCTCCCTTCTTACAGGTCCATCACTGGCTTCTTATTTCTAGGGTCAGAATTGGCCTCCTTCACATGCTTACAAACTTCTTCACCACCTAGGCCTGTCTGCCTCTCCCCCTGTTCTTTCCTCCTGTGGGAATCCCTCCCTTCACTGTGCAGTGGACCAACCCTCCTTCACTCCTTCCATGAACAAAGCTGTCTTTTGCTTCAGGGCTTTGCAAGTGCCGTGTCACCTGCCTTCCTCTGCTGATCCCTACTTGTCCTATCTGTCCATCAGACCTTTTGTGTGTAGGCTCCATGTCCTTCAGAAAGCCTCTCCTCATCCCTGTCAACCCTCAGAGGCTGAAGTGGGGACCTCCCCTGGGCCCTGGGTGGGCAGAGGCCAGGTCTAGCATATTCCCTGCTACACCTTTAGTAACCAGTGTGGTGCCTGGCACACATGAGGGGCTCACTAATTATGACTTGCAATCATTATTACCAGCGTCTGGGTCAGACCAGATGGTAAGCGCTGGGAAGAGAAAAGAAAGAAAGGACAGGTCGGCCCAGCAGTCTTTCATTTCCAGCCACACAACAGACTTGCCTGGATTGCTTTACAGAAATATTGATGCCCAGACACCACTCCAGAGATTCTGATTCTTTTGATCTGAGATGAGACCAAGCATATGGGTAATTTTAAAATCTCTTCTGATATTCTAATGTGCAGCTGGGGCCTGGAAGCCCTGAGTGAGGTCTGAGTGTATGGTCTCAGCTTAGTAAATTCTTGCTGACTGGTGTCCATTCCTACTACTCTTTGTTGGGAGCGGGAAGGGGGGCGGGGGGAAGGGTGTCCCCAGCCATTTACCTCTGTGCCCTAGATTCCCTTCCCTGAGGAATGGCTCCCTGAGCTGAAGACCTGCTCTGCCTGCTGTCTCCTGCTCACCCCATCCATATACACCCTCCCCATGGAGCCCATCTGGCAACCCAACGTTGGATCTATGGGGAGACAGCCAGGCCTGGAGGAAGCACAGGGGCTGGGGTCTAGCCCAGCAGGCTGGGTCCTCCATCTCCTGCCAGAGTTGGCTCCAGGGGAGTTCAGTTGGTTCAGTAAATATTTGCTGAGCATCCAGGCTGAGCAGGGTACTTTGCCAACGGCTGGGGAGACAGAGGTGAATCCAGGAACCGAGTCGGACTGAGGATCAGTGCCATATCTGGCCCTGGGCGGGAGCTCAAAGAAAAATTGGCTGGGGAGTGAAAAAGTGGCACTGGCTGTCCGTACCACTAGCCTCTGAATCCACCTCCACTCTCTCCTGAGCAAATAGAAAGCTGTGGGCACTGTGTCCCCACCACTGCCGCCCCTCCGAGTTTACTATGGCCCAGGGTGACTGGAGCTGTTGCATCCGATTCTCCTGGGAAGCTTGTTAAAAACACAGGTGCCTAGGCCCAGCTCCAGAAATCTGATTTGGAAGGTCTGGGGTGAGGCCCAGTGCTCTGCACTTTCAGCAAGCTC